CTTAAGTTGGGCCATTAAAAATATGTCTTGTTCTGGTTTAGAAAGAGCTTGAAAAGATTCCCTTAATTCTGCAAATTGTTCTTTGGGAATTCTTGAAGAACAACCACAATCACAACCTTTTTCTAAAAAACCAATTGCTTTTTGATATTCATTAGAACCATTATATTTATTATTATTATAATTGGAAAAACATAATAATGAGATAATTTTTAAAAGTGTTAACAAATCGTGATTTTAAAATCAATATTAATATTAATAATGTAGTTAACTATATTTAATATTAATAATGTAGTTAATTATATATAAATTTGGATACAATGCATATTAGAATTCGGGCTTTCTTTGCATCTAAGTTTGTTCAATTTGGTCAAGATTCAGTAAGCTACAAAAATATACATCTTTCAAAATTGTGTAATCTATTAAAATATTTTCATTTTTACACAATCTAGAATTCAAATAAGTACTAATACAAATTATTTCATCCCGACTGGTTGGATACATGCTGAGATATAATAATGTAAAGAGATATTTAACAATTATTATTATGTAGGCTACAGGAGATCTGATGTTAATATTAATTATCAAAGTAGTTCTCAATCAATTACACTGCATTCTGAAATTTGGGCATGTATAAATTTTTATAAATGAAGAAAACACCATTAAAACTTTACTTCAATGTATTAGTTAAATTTAAATAAGAATGCCTTTTATTTGGTTATAAATGAAAATTTGATTAACTGGCATGTAAAAAAATGGGCAAATTGATAGCTTTAAATATACTACAGTGTAAAAATGGGGTAAATTTTAAAATCTTAACAAGGTAGATTTACTAACTGTCTTGCAACAGCTTGGTCACAGAACCATCTTTACCTAGAGGTAGGATCATTGCGGGCAGCTTGTCAGCTTTCTCTGGTCTGGTGCTGTGAGGGAAGGTTATCAAAAGTGTCATTGACGATTGATGCAGTTTTGATGCAGCTCCAGAGCTTTGCGTCCCCCCCCTGGAATTCCGCTGCATCATTGTATCATCGGGAGAAACGTGGTCAGATTAGCCTTGTATACACAAAGAACATATGAGAATGACTGTAAAGTGTTCAAGGTAGTGTGCGTGCTTTAATGTCCGTAAATTCCTGATAATCAAATGTTGCATATCGAAATGTTTCATATTTGGATTGTTTCTTTTTCAACAGCGTGTTGCCTTAACATCTTGTAATAAATATTATTAATAATATTATTATTATTAATGATTGCAAAAAGCAAAATACCATCTTGACAAGGATCTTATAATTACCCAGTGAGATCTGCTCTGCATTTTGATTTCAATTATAATATTTATAATAACTAAATAAAAGACACATCAATGCAAATTAAAAAAAAGTACCTCTGGTTAGTTATTAACACATCTTTAGGAGACTCACGTTTTGTCATCGTTAAAAAGTAATAGTAAATTGTTTTTCAAAAAAAAAAATCAATCGCGTCAACAAAAAAAAATAGGGGGTTCCATACATAAATAATTATTAGTACGCGAAATCGAAATACTTTGGGTGGGTGAAATTCTGATTGGCTAATTTGAATTTCACATAATTTCCATTTTCACGTACATCACATCATCATCCACAAAAATTTTAAACAAAAATTTTTTTAAAAAAAATAAACTAAAATGCCAAAAGAAAAGAGAAGGAGATTAAAAGAAACAAAACGAGGAATGAGTAAGTGTTGTTTATCATAAGA